TAAGAAACTTCAGAGCTGTCTTCAATCTTAACCGTCAATGTGACCTCTGCAATCGACGAGCAACTACGTATAAAAAATATTAATAACATTGTTGTGCTGTAAATGTGGTTACTGCTTTCATAATTTGAAGTGCTGTGTTTGTAGACAATATTTTGTGTGTACATTGGTGATAAAGGGACGGAAGGAATCAAGACGCCCGCGCATTTTTGAATTATTATTTTAATTTAATATTGTTTATTACGTTGCATCGTCAATTATATTTTCTATTATACCTATCTACGGTCGACTGGTAGATAACGACGCTATATGGTGTTGAGTCCGCCATTTACACTTTCTTGGTGTATTACAGTTTAATAAATAAATAGAAAAATTAAAATTATGTATAACAACTTTAAAAAAGGTTATAATTATAATAGTGTGAAACATCCAGTACATTATTTTAACTAGTGGGCAAGTAAACAAACTTGGGTTATGATAATAATTCTAACTGCTAAAAGTTTTGCTAACTCTTAGTTTAGGAGAATAACTCAATTTAAAGTTTTATAGTTAAGTACAGCAATTTATTTATATTATGTATATATTTAAATCGTATGTTATCTCAGAAAAATATCAATAGTCTTGAAGAAATTAAGTAATAAAGAAAATAGTAACTTTTTCTTTTCTTGCTTCATCTACTATTCTTATATTTTTAACTTTTTTATTCTCTCTTCTTTCTTATTCTTATAAAGATCAATATAACTCATTCCTTCTAACTATCCTGTAAGATATCTAGTATGTGAATAACTAAAATCTGTATACTAAGAGGGGATAGAATTTTTAAACAACAGATTTTGCTTCACAATGAGAAAAAATTTCCTAATCCAATAAATAGCAATTTCAATTCTCATAAATGTAACTAACAGTTGAATAAATCCTACCAACTGCAAATAATCATCAAAATCATTTCGTAATTGGCGACGTAGTCACGTAACGTGCATTTAATGAAAACAAAAACGAATTCAGAATTTCCTTCTTTCAGAAGTTGTTCAAAAACATGAATTGTATATTTAAACAGCTGTAAGTTGCTTAAGAAAATCCGGAAACTTCAACAAGATACCCAAAAGGCGTTTAGATCACGTCCAAAGAGGAATCTAGTATAAAGACAATGTTAAATTTTTAAGTAACGACAAGAAACCACGGTGCCGCATCTCTCAAAGTACAATGCGCCCCCATAAAGAGTTAATATTTCAAGAGTACAGACAAAGAGAGCAGTAGTCACGGTTCAAGTTTTAATTTGCTTAAAGTTGTTACGAGTTGGAACGGGTCCCACGGTGGGCGCCAAATTAGGTACAGCCACAGACTAAAAGCGGAAAACTGGAAACGTTGGTCTACTGATAGTTTAATTTGTCCTTTTCTGTGCAGTTCTTTATTGGACATTTTGCATGTGATTTGTAATTCTACACGCAGATTGTCTCAAGTAAAGTTCTAAGCAATTGTAATTGGAAAAAATTCTATAGATTTTTTTTTCTGATTTATATTAAAGAACAAGAAACCTTTATCTCATAATTTCTTTTAGACTTAGCACTTATTCTAAGCCATGTTTATTCAACCGATTTCAAAAAAAGATTTTTTTAAATCCGAACTCCATCATTAATAAATTGATTTTGAAAATTCTTTATAACCTGAAAGGATATACTTTCAGTACAATTAGTCTTATAGAAATATTAACAAAATCTGTTTAATAATTTAGTTTCGAAATAAAATAACTGGCTTAGCCACGATTTTTTCTAATAAATCTAATTGTATTGACTTAAAAGACTCGTGGACTGTCAGAAAAAAATTTTAAAATTCACCCAATAAAGATAATAAGAATAATATTTATCTAATCAGACTACATAAGGCCCATTTTGTTAGTTATAAATTGACTTAACCTATGTTAGTAAATGAACGGTCATAACGATCTTACATTGATAACCTGTCCTACCCAATATTTTAGGATAGGACAGTCTATTTTATCAGCAGTTGTCTTCAGGACACTGTTTGATAAGTATTCTAAAATATATTTAAGTACTGTCTTCCGTAGGCATCATTTTGTAAGACAATTTAAGAGATATATTTTAGAAAATTCTATTCTATTATTCTAATATTACATGTGTAATATGTATTACACATATGTAATATTTCGTGTACATTTCAGTTGTACATTTTAAACGAAATGTAGGTCAATAGAGAAATTTTACTATATTGAATTTATTCAGCCACTCGCATAACTGGCAATATGACCTACTTGAACTACTTTATTATACATTCTGTGTCTAATACCGGAACAAGAGAAAAACAGAGGCGCCAAGTGTGAGTCTGCTTTCAACTTTACGAGTATGTTTATTTTGTTTTTATTGAGAATTATTATTTTTTTTTTGATAAAAAATTAATTTTACTCCATTATTTTTTGCAAATTATAAAGTCATATTTCACTTTCACACACACACCACATTTTATTTTAATTCTAAGATTAATAATATTTTGGAGTTATTAGGAGACAGATGTAACAGATATATATGTATGTGTGTATATATATAACAATATTTTTTATACAAGTTAGAAAGGCAAACAAGCTGACGGCCCATCTGACGGTCGCCTATAGATGTAAACGGTACCATGGGCATAACAGAGTATATTGTTTCGCCCATAACACTCCCTATGGATTGTCATTCCTGAGGACTAAGGTATTATACCTCTGTACCTTGTAAATTCACTGTCACTTCAAACTGAAACACAGCCATGCAAAAAACAGCTTCACGGTAGAAACACGAATGGGACAAAGGTACCTAAGCAAACGACTTTTGTACAAAGTCTCCTTCTGGTAATATTAATAATAAAATTTAATTTCAATAATAAAAGACTCCATTATATTCTGAGAAATAAATATCTCAATATTAAAATCTCGTGTCACAATCTTCGTTCGCGGTAATCTCATTAACCGCTCAACTGATTTTAATTGACTTCGAACTTGAGAGATAGGATAGTTTTTAATCCACAACAACTACAGAAATAGCTATATATATATATATATATATATATATATATATATATATATATATATTTAGATATATAAATATCTATATATATATATATATATATATATATCTATATATATATATAAATATCTATATATATATATATATAGATATTTTTTTTGTTCCGTTCGCTATAAAGGCGTGGTTTAAAAGAAACCAAAAACTATACTTTTCAGCTGAATGTATTTAAAAAAAGAATTAAAGGGCCAGCTTTCTTTCAGCTGAAATAACTAAATAAAATAAGAAAAATTCCTAGATAATTTTATACGTAAATCGCTCGCGTTAAAGGAGATACGAAGTACATCATCATCCAGTATCATCGTCATTAACATATCAGCCTTTAATTGTCCACTGCTGGGCATAAACCTCCCCCATTAAGAGGGGTATCTAGTATATTATATATTTATTACAACAATACTTATTCCTTTTTTTGTAAACTGTAAATGAAATAATTATTTTAGGGCAAGGCAACAAGCTGAGTTGTGACCATTTTGTGTTACTGTAGCACACGCATGAAGAGAAAAATTGTTACTTATTTTATGCATTTTGTTTTATTTTTATTTTTTGTATATGTATTTTTTTTATCTTTTTTCACTGTGCATTTATGTCTATTATTGTTTGTATGCTGTAAGTAATGCAAATAAATTATTTATCTATCTATCTTTACTAATATTATCAATGCGAGTTTATTTGTTTGTTACCTCTTAACGCCTTAATAGCTTAACCATATACATACATATACATATCTGTCACGCCTGTCTCCCATTAGGGTAGGCAGAACAATGGAATGCCAAATGCTTCGATTCAAACAAACCTCTTTCGCTTCTGCCACATTCATCAATCTTTTCATACACGCTCGCCGGTTACGGGTACTTTAACAGCTTAACCAATCACTATGAAATTTGATATACACATACTAAATGGAATTGAGAAGGACATGGATTATTTTTTATGCTGGTCAGTGAAGATATCTCAATCATGCAGACGAAGTCGCCGGTAAAAGTTAGTAGCTTAAATATACAGGCACATGAATAATATACATTGATGCTTCTTTCCACTTTGGCTGTTGCTCGAAGAGAACTCTTTTAGAGTTAAACTCGCCTTTGTGCATTTGCTTATCTCTGTCATATTTTTATATATTACTAGCAGTATTCCGCGGCTTTACTCGCGTGAATCAGTATTTAAAGTATCATATATGCTTTTTATAGCATTTTATATGTAACTCTTTAGATTGATATAACTTTTTTTTATTTATGAACCGATTAAAATAAAACAAACACTTAATGTTAAGTGGAACAAACTGCAACGTATTAGTAAAAACTGTTTTCCAATCTGTTAAATCACTTCTGAGATTAGCGTGCACAAACGTACAGACAAACAGATGTAGAGACAAAAATTCTAAAAGTCATTATTTTGGGTTCGATTGCGTTCATAAATACCCTCTAGTATATAGTTACATGGTTTTTCTTATATATCTTCCATGTACAGACAGCGACCAGTTTTTTTTAATGGATGAAAATGGAATGGTAACCCCGCCTGCGCTATCGGTATACACCGGCGCAGCACCAGTGAAGGATGATAGCTGAGGATGAAGCGGGTCAGTTGGCCCATCATGACGAACTCAACAAGAATTGTTCACGATGGTTTCTAGGTAGAACCACGACCTAATAGGACATATTGCTGGCAATGGGACTGTCAAACTCCATTGCTAACAATCCCTTTCCCCCGACAACGACCAGTTACGGTGTTATTTATTATATGTACTAATTAGTGTTTAGATTTTATTTTATTTATTTATTTTACAATTTTGTAAAATAGTAAATACATTTAAATGTATTATAATGAAAAATGATACCAAAGACGACCTTATCGCTAAGCAATAAATAATTACAACAAAGTATAAATAAATAAATATGTACATATTTAACTCTGTTGCAATTAAGCGAAATAAAGTCCACCACTCACCGTATCTTGACTTCCTTCGACTGCCATTCGCTGTGCTTGTCAAAACTGATGAGTATGGCAGCAATTTCCTGGAACAAGACACACAACAAACATAATTACAAAGTCCGTTAATTTGTACACAAAATAACTTGGACAAAGTGTCGGTGGACGTAAATTTGGACCCTTGCGAACTATTAAGACACAACATAAAGGCGTAATTGTAAAGGGTTATACACTTTAAACCGCTAGAGATGGGGGCGTTGGTAAATGGTTTTGTTTTAAACTAACTAACAAAATTTATTGGACGACTGTAATAACTGTTTCGTTTAATGTTTAATTTTGTTTACAATAAACATAATTGTTTTTTTTTTTATTTATTAAATTAATGTATTTTCTCTCTTTCTCTCTAAATATCTCTAAATATATTCTTTCGTTTCTCTTTTTGTGTTTATGTCTATATTTGTCTATGAGGGGATGGAATTGTTAGTAATACGGACTACCAGTCCCGCTGCTAACAATATACCCTGTCAGGTCGATCTCCACGTGGTCTCCCATGGAAACCATCGTGCTGAATTCCAGGTGTATTCATCACGATGGGCTAACAGACGTGCCTTTCATTCTCTCCTATCATCCGTCACTAGTGCCCCTCTAGCGTATACGGTTACGTAGACAGGGCTACTATTCCATTATCTCTGTCTGTTGTTATTTGTATTATGTAAATTATGCAAATAAATTATGGTCGTAGCTAGGAAAGGGGTGGGCATTAAGGGGCAATGCCCTACCTCAAAAGACCCGATGAAAATTAGACAGATTCGCTTTTGCAGAGTCTCTTGCCCTACCTTAAACATGGGTTTAGCTACGGCCTTGAAATAAGGTATCTATCTATCTATAATTACTAGTTCCATTCTGTACGAATCATGAAAATTACAACATAATAAATTCTCGTATGTTAAAGACAAAATTTACATAAGCATTAATATACTTTATTTTTTATTCTCGTGTTTATTCTAAATACTCAATGGGGTTTTAATACATTTCTTTCTTTCTTCTTATTTTTTCTTTCTTAACATCGAAATTAAATATCTAATTAAGTGATGGGTACATCACCCACAAGTACCAGAGATAGTCCAACTGCGAGTACCGAATGCTTATGTTAGCGCGCACCGTCATCCGGTTACGTTTAATGTCCCGCCAGTAAGAACTAACCTACTTCAGCGCGCTCCCTTAACTCAGGCAGTGCGGTTACTAAATAATATTATAAACATCATTGGTATATTTAGTAGTAGCCTGCCAAAGATATTAGAAGCGGCTCAGACATATCTCAAGTCGGGTTAAATACATTTATTATAACTTTGTATGTTAGCACACTAGATTTATAACATTGATTTGGCTTTTGCTGTTATAATGTTATAATTATTTTTAATTAATTAAACAATAAATAATAATTAAAAGTTTCTTCATTAATACCTAAATAAATAATTGATTCACATTTTCCAATCGGGCTTTACCCAGTTTTCCCCGAATGACGAAAATAAATCATGTTCCTAATATAAAAACATGTTCTGGAAATTACAAATCCTTTTTTAAGTGTTATCCGCAAAATAAATCAACGTGTACACACTTCGCCGAGCGCACTACGTGATTAGAATGTCCCCAAATGTAATCTTCAAAAGTTGTGTACCCCAGAGCTTTGTGGGACAACAATGGGATAACTATGACGTCGACCGCTACCAAGGTAGTCAGTTTTCAAAATCAATTTCCTTTTACGACCAGTAAGTACTTAAATTTCCGTGTGGTCCCGGCGTAGAATAGGCCATCCCTTCCTTTCCCGTGAGTGTCGTAAGAGGCGACTAAGGAAATTTAATGGACGAGTAACGGACAGCACTGTCCTTCTTAAAACATTTCCAAAGCCTAACTACGGTTGCCAATCCGCCTGCTAAGATTAGCAAAACCCCCCAAAGGGGGGCTTATATACAGCAATGGACAGTTAAAGGTTGATATGATGATAGTATCTAAATATCTTTTTTATACCACTAAAGTGGCAAACAAGCATGCGTTGCCAATCCTGAGGACTCAGGTGTTATTCCTCTATACCCAATAAATTCACGCCATATCCCATCCTTCAAACCGAAACACAGCCATACAAACACAACTGCTTCACGGTTGAAACACGAATAGGACAGAGGTACCCAAGCAATCGACTTTTGTGCAAAGTCTCCCTCTGGTAAATAAATAAACAACTGCATGAATAAATAGACGCTACCTAACATAAATTAAAATTAAATCTTTATTAACTGTATCGCGCGACCATCTTCGAATAGATAAGGATAAAAAAGTCTACTGGCTACATCTCAGAGCTCCATTCGCGTGAATAAGTATATAAAAAATGTAAATAAAATATATATGTACAGTATGTACAGTACCTTATATACGAAGGTAAGATATAACCTATCTATGTGGCAGAAAGGGATTGTTAGCAATGGAGTTTGACAGCCCCATTGCTAGCACTATGCCCTATAAGGTCGATCTCCACGTGATTCTCCTTGGAAACTATCGTGAACAATTCTTGTTGAATTTGTCACGATGGGCTAACTGACCTGCTTCATTCTCACCTATCATCCTTCACTGGTGCCCCGCCTGTGCATACTGATAGCGCGGGTGGGGTTACCATTCCATTATCACACATTAAAAAAAACTATCCATGTACTAAATGTTATTCAAATTTGTTCTGTAGTTTTTTCGTGAAAGAATAATAAATCGCTACAAACTTGCGCATTAATAATATTATAAAAGAATTTTAATCTAAGACTTACTTTGTATCTAAGAATTACTTGTATACCAAATTTCATTGATATCTGTCCAGCCGTTTATGCGTTATTGAGCAACAAACATCTAAATATATTTATAAATTTTCACATTTATAAATTTTTTTAAGGTTGTACAAAATTGAAATCAAATAATCAAGTTCCGCATATTGAAAAAGGCGCCAAGTTTAAAAATAGAACATATCTAAATCAGCAATTTCAACACATAGCCGCTTTTTAAATTAAACATGTCACAAAGAGGCTAAGGAATGAGATCACATACGGTTATAAAATTTATAAACACATCGGGATCCTATGCTCGGTTAGATTTATTGCTTGGAATATAATCTGTACCGGTCGTGGCATACTTAAGTGGGTTGAATTAGTTAAGGAAATGCCTCGCAGGACTTTGTTGAGCGGGAAACGTAAGCCGGTATGTCTCTTTTGTAAAATTGGACCGTTTTATCCGGTCGTGTGGTTTTATTATAATAATAACCACATTTCTGAATTGTTCTTGTGTTGAATTCAGTTTTATGCAAAATAACATGTAATAGCGTTACGTAATAGAGTTAATTTAAATATTCACATAAGTGTAATAAATAAATAGATGTTACGGAAAATATCATACAACGCCATCTGTAATTTGTCTCAATGAAACTTAATGAAAACCTAAGTATTGTTGATATTATTATTGAAACGTTTTTTGTTTTTTTTTTTTATTGTTAGGGAAATAAACGAGCAGACGGTCCACCTGATAGAAAGTGAATACCGTCACCCATGAACATCTGCAACACGGGGGGAATTGCTTTTGTTGCTGGCCTTTTAAATGTTTGGAGGCACGTTTTTTGAAATGCCCCATATAATATTGTAAGGGGAAAATTGAAGAGGGAAACTCATTTCACAACCTAGATGTATGAGGTAGAAATAAACGAGATGCGCGAACAGCAATAATATGACGTACACCCAAGATGCCATACTTTAAATGAAAATAATGTCAAATCGAAAAATACAATATATATATATATATATATATATATATATATATATATTTTTTTTTTTTTTTTTTTAATGAAAATACTATTGAATATCAGCATACTGTCTTACAGTCATATTAGTTATGTTTGTTTACATTTTAATTAAATTCTATTGAAACAAACTACAATTTTAAAGTAGGCAGAGATTTACCTATTAAATGTATTATTATTACAGAGTAAAATGTCGTAACTTTGTAATCCTCAGGAATGCACGTTTATGCACAATGCAAAAAAGTTCTCTTTGACCTCACAGTGTATTCTGTAATATCTATAGTGCTGTTCATGTGTTATCTACCAGCGACCAGTCATGTCATAATATTTATAACATACATGAAAACAGAAAAACTTGAAACCAAACAAAATACTTGTAAATAACCTTACCATTAATTCTAAATTCGCTAATAGGACACTAAGCGTCCAATTAGCGACCAAAATTTTAGGGAAACGGTATTCCCTAGAAAAAAAACTAGTGACCCCGCCTGGATTCGCATGGGTAGTAGAGCATAAATTTTCAAATTTTTTCATCAGCTTGTTGCGTCAAGTATGAATTAGATGCATATAATATCTATGCTGAAAAGATAGACATACGCCATCGTCGACTTATTGTTGACTTATAAAAAAGAAACAATCTCGCCACATATTGGTTTTTATATCTCAAATAAAGTTATTATGAATTCAAATGAAAAATTAATCCATCAATTCGTTAACAGATTACGCAATATCTTCGATGAAATTTGAATCACTCTATCTATTAATGAAAATCGCATTCAAATCATTTACGTAGTTTATAATACCTATATATCTAATCGTACAGATGTTAGGAGGAACACTTTGTTTTATAAATGTGAAGGTATTCGACAGTAACCATTTTCCATCAGGTGGGCCGTCAAATTTCCATTAAAAAAAAAATTATCTGTACATTCTTTGTTGCACCTTGACAAGACCCAAGTTTAATTATCTCTCCATCTTAAGGTTGCCTGCAAGAGATTGCTATTTAGCGATAAGGCCGCCCATTGTTGCCTCTTCACCTCGCTTCTTGCATTTTTTTTTTTTATGTTTTTATGTCATTTTACGTTTTATGTTGCTTAGAAAAGACACATCTTTGAGAGGAAAAATAAAATGGTTTCATTAATTCATTCTTTGATAGGTAGTCGAGTAATAATTAAAAGATTGTGTTTCACAAAGCAGGTTTTCATAGTAAACTCTGTAGAACAATGATTAGTATATATATATATATATATATACAACTTA